GGCTCGGTTCTGCCGGATCCGGGCTCGGCTCTGCTGGATCCAGGCTCGGCTCTGCCGGATCCAGGCTCGGCTCTGCTGGATCCCAGCCTGTCTCTCTGCTTCCCCCTGCATTTTCCAGCTGCTGAGAGCCTTATCTCCTGCAGACTCTCATAAACAAACTCCCGTTTTTCTCCTTTCATGAAATCCTRGACTCTGTGAAGTCCAAAGCTGTTTTCTTTCAGCGTTCGATGTGTTCTATAACGTGTCTGTGTTTAATATTTATAAGTTTTCGTATAAATAAGGTTCTTTTCTGTTCTCTACCATGCAACTGGCTCTGGAATAACAAGCAGCTGTTAATTATGAATCCATAATGAAACAACTTGTTTTCCACAGAGTTATGCAATTTGTACCACTCTCAAATTGATGGTAAATTTAAAGAAGAAAGCCTTTTTTACCCCGCTTGCTACCTGAAAACTTAGAAAATCCTTGTGCAGAATATGAGAACATYATCTCATTTCTCTTAGGGAGCAAATTGATTCACTCAGCTCTCCCAAAAACTGAGCTCAAAGAGAAGGCATGAAAGAGAATYCTGACTCTATGCTGTTTATTTTGCCTCTCTGTGTCTCTTTCTCTGTTCCAATAATGGATTTTGATAATCCAACAGATGCTTCAAGTTGCTCTGGAAACCTCCGTGGACATAGACAATGCCCTGCTTGACTCTTCCTCCTCAGCCCGGGTGAGGTGCAGGAATCTCCACGGTCCAGGCTTCTGGAGTGACTGGAGCACACCCTACAATCTCACTGTGGGAGGTAGGACACCTGCAGCCTCTTGGGATAAAGCTGATTTCTCAGTTTGACAATGGACAACGTGAGCTGGGATAAAAAAAAATCCTGCAGGAACTTCTCCCCTTCTGCTCCTCCCGAGGCTCAGCTCTTTCCCTGTGCAAGGCTGGCATAGGAATTGTGGAGAACAAACCTCATCCCTCACCCAGCACCTGCTCAGACCCAGAAAAGCTCTTCTCCTCAGAGCTTTCCCATTTCCATTTGCAGTTGGCAGTGCTGAACCTCTCCTCAATTTGAGATTTCCCTCATAAAGCTTTCTCTCGCTTCTGGTTTCTGCTTTGTAGCTGAACTGAAGGCCCAAAGCAAAATAAAATGTACTTTTTATATAGCCYAGCTTGGTTTGTAATGCTAAACCCTGAGTAAAAACTGACTCTCTGAGTTTTTTGTTGTATTTTTCCATGCTCTGCTTGGAATTAACTGGGAATATTTTGGTCTGTGGTGTCATAGGAATTCTCTGATCCATCCCATGTTAATCTTAATGCTTTTCCTGGGCCTTCACATGGGCACCTGCACCAAAAAAAGAACTAAACTTTGGRAAAAGAGCTTTTTTCCTAATAAAATCTTCAACAACAAATCCTAAATCTACTTTACTGCCTGAGAAAGGGGAATTTGGGGGGAAATCCTACAAATCTGCCTGGTTCCTCGGTATGGGATGCAAAGCTGACCTTTAAAGGATTTTCATGCTGGTTTTGGGGTGTTCTTTGCAAACAGCTCCATTCCAGCTACACCTYGAGCATTCCCTGAATCCCTGAGTGATGGGGGCTGAACTCACTCATCTCTAAATCCTTGGAAAAGTCAGTGATTTTAAGCCTSGATTGCACCACTGCTCCAACCTGGCATTAATTGCAGTGTAAAACCAGGTTTTGAGACTTTAATTTCCTGCTGACTTCAAGAGGAGCAGGAGGAGCAGCAGCTCCTGGAAAGATTGATGAATTCTGTGATGTTCCCCTTGTGCTGTGTGCTTGCACTGCACCCTCCAGTGATTTTCTGCTCATTTCATTCCTGTTTGCCCAGGGATATTAAAGATTGTTTGAATCAGAGCTGAGAAACTTCAGGTGTGGAGGGACACAGTCCAAGGCTCATTTCTGCTCTTGTTCACAGTGATTAAAATTAGGAAAGTTAGAAATCCAACTGGATTATTATTATTATTATTATTATTATTATTATTATTATTATTATTATTATTATTATTATTACTATTATTATTATATCTATTAAATAAATACTTTTATGGTTTTTTGGTTCTGTTTCTAATATCAATTGATTTCCCCCTTTTTTCCTTTTGTATAGCCTGAGGATATTAAAGATTATTTTAATTAGAATTTAGAAACTTCAGGTATGGAGGGAGACAATCCAAGGCTCATTTCTGCTCTTGTTCATAGTGATTAAAAGGTAAAAAAGTTACAAATCCAACTGGATAATGATGATAATAATAATTATATTTTTCTATTGACAAATGCTTTTCTGTTTTCTTGGTTCAGTTTCAAATTTCAATGGATTTTTTCCCC